TCATCGCACGAGCTTCAGCCTCTTGATGTTGGCTGTTTTAGTCCGCTGAAGGCTTCATATGGCAAGGAAATCGAGAAGATGATGCGGATGCAGATTACGCACATTACTAAGGATGATTTCTTTCCTGCCTTCAAGGCAGCCTTTTTTACTTCAATAAGCAAAGAAAACGTACAAGCTGGTTTTAGACAGGCTGGCCTTGTACCATTCGACCCAGAAGCAGTTCTTTCCCGCCTGGATTTCAAGCCAAAGACGCCAACACCATCCAACTCATGCCCAAGCAGCCAGGGCTCCTGGGACCCAAAGACACCAACCACAGCACATGACGCCGTACGAAGCTCTGCTTCACTTAAGAAAAGAATCACTAGTCATCAAGATAGCTCACCAACTCATTTGTACGAGGTTGTTGATTTGCAAGCTAAAGGTATTAGCAAGTTAGCACACAAACTAGCTCTTGTTGAAGCCGAGTGCCGCGGGCTTCGTACGGCAAATGAGATACTAAGTAAGCGCCGGAGAGCTAAGAAAACCCAACTACGTCTTGGAGGGTCACTTAATACAGCTGAAGCTGAGGCAATACGGGTAGAAAAGGGGGTTGTTGATGCTGGAGGCGAAAACATGCGTCAAGAGGGTGCTCGTACGGAGGGGGGTGAATCGCGCGGGCGGCGATGTGGTAACTGCGGAAAGACTGGACATAATGTACGAACATGTCAGGTAGTTTGGGAGACCTCTGAAGAAGAGGCTGATGAGTAGTTTCAATTGATTTCGTACGATGTGGCTTAATTGACTTACACAAATGGCTGGAGGGTAGTGAAAGGTGGGCGGCTCGCTATGATGGGCGACTCGCTATGCATATACGTTAATATATCTTCTTTAACTTATTGCTTAGTAGTAAATTCTAATACCTTACTCTTAAAACTACTAGTTTCTTCTCTCTTATTATTAATTAGTTTAAAATAACTAAATAAACGTTATAATTAAGATCTTTTTTAAACCTTATAAGGTCTTCTATTACCTTATTAACCTTAGCTTTTTCTCATAATAATTACCTTTTTTCTCTTTTCTTCTCCTATAGCTTTAACTCTAATACCTTTTTTTTACTACTAAAGTATTTGTTCCTAAGCTCTTATATTAATTTACTAACATAAGCATTAACTTTAGTAATAGTAAATCTCTTTTTTAATAACTTATTATTACTAATAGAGATATATTATTACTAGAATTATCTATTAAATTACTGGTTTTATAAAAATATAAAAGTACTAAGAAATAATATAAATAACTATAATAGTATATAAAAAGACTAACTTTCCTATATATTCCCTAAGTTATTATTATTATTTCTATCGTCTTTCTTATTCTTATCTACCTCAGAGTTAGTCTCCTAGCTATATATAACCTTATTAACTAATAATATAGTATTACTCTTCCTAGTATTTATACTCTATATCTCTTTATATAGATCTAGTAGTTTTAACCCTTTTTTAAAAACCTACTTATACTTTAAGTAAGTAATTAAGAAGTTCTCTTTTACCTTATTACTATAAGAGACCTTTCTATTATCTTTATTAAATATATTACTTAACTTATAAGTAATAAACGTTTAAATAAAAAACCTCTTTTTCTTACTATTATACTTATTTTTTATTTACTTATTAGTTATAAAACTAATAAACTAGCCTTTAATATTGATTTATGCTATAAGATCTTTAAAGACTAGCTTTTTTATAGTAGCCTTATTAGTGTTAAGGTTTTTGTTATAATATAAATTAAAAAGCTTCTTTATAAAGCAATAAATAAGCTTTAAAGTCTAAATAGTATAAGAGTATATTAGTATTTATTAACTAAATAAATCTTTAAGAAAAAGTAATATACTACTTAAGGATTTATTATTAACTTTATTATATTCTTTATTATTATTTTTATTATAGACTTTAGTAACGTTTTAAGTAACCTCTTTGTTAAACTATTACTTCTTTACTAGTTTTCTTTTTAACTAACGTAATAGGTCCTTTTATTTATTAGCAATAAAAGCTAAAGTAATTAGTTAAATAATAATAAAGCCCTCTATATTAATAAAAAGCCCTTCTTTGCTTTACTAGTCACTTATTATAGAGGTATAAGTAATTATAGTAATTATTTATAATAATCTAATAAGAAATAATAATATAAATAAAAGTAAAAGGAAATAAAGCTTATTTAGCCTAGAGAAAAAGGAAAGTAATAAAGATAATAACCTCTATAGGGATAACAGCAATACATTACCTAATTTAAGCCTTAATAATACAGGAAACTCTACTTAATTTCAACCTGAGGTATTTTTTTACTACGGTACAGCCGTTACCACACTTATAACGCAGTCATCAATCAGGCTCAAAGATGTCAATTAACCGGATATTTCGACAAGCCGTAACGGAATCAACCCCCGTCTTATCCTATTCTCGACATTTGGCTGGTTAACTGGGCTATCTGACACCCCATGATGTTTTGCCAGCAGGTTTTCTAGTGTTTTTCCAATCTCGTACCTTTCACTGACTGAGAGACGCAGTGAGACCCAGGCACCCAGCACTTGGCGTAATACATGATAGTGACTGGAACACGTGACCCAACGGCACAGGTGAATGCCCAAGCGGCCATCAAGAATCGATGTGAGGTTTTGCTTACAAAGATTACAAGTCTGTCCAAGAACGTTAATAAAAAAGGTGGAGATAGCCACGCAGTGACATGCTTATACGCTAGCTCTCAATCTTGAGGTTTAACTCCTTGTGGTCATAATTACATCGTTTGAGTTCATGTGAAAACACATCACTCGCGGCTATATCATAAGAACTAATTACTGCTAGATATGCCCAAAAGCTCTCCTGTCCATGCATAGCCTCGGCGAACAATCACAATCCAAACCTGACGCGAGAAACAGTACAAACATCATTGACCAGGCTCACTAAACCTCTGCCGGAGACGACTCGATGAATTGGATGCTTTCATCTTCATTCACCTTCTCAATGTCTCCCGTGACGCTCGTGCTACAGCACGAACTGGGATGGTCCGAGTAGCCCGTGGCGATATAACCCCATAAGGGATCTCAGCCGTGCAGGCCGCGGTCTGTGTTGTTGCGGTTGACAAGGTAGATTTGGGACCCGGCGCACATGCAGACGCCTACGCCGCAGCACCTGGATGAAGCACTGCAGGGACATAATGTTTAGTCAGTAGCCAAGAACATACACGAAGAGAGGAGGAGAAAGAAAATCTTGTGATGATGGGCTCTTGGAAGACGACCCAAAAATGATAACAGCCGCTGGCGATCTGGCGGGTGTTCAGAAGCTGGCCCTCAGCCCCCATCTTGAAAGCGGACTCGAAGAGTGGTGTTTGGACTTGGCTGCATTGCTAGCTTGTGTTAAAAACCATTGTATTCACTGCTGGTTTCTTGGGCCTAACTCGCTGACATATAAATTGGCAGCCCCTCTGACTTGAAACCGTCATCAGTTGCGTCGTACTGCTGGTGATAGTTGGTCGTTTAGATCAGGCTGGAGGTGTGACTTCGGTAAACATTAGCGGAACCCAAGTCTTTCACTCACTGTCGTTGATGAGTCGAGTCGCACACTGCGACGGAATATTAACGGTTGCGCTACCAGTAAGTAGCATACAAGTCAGCACCTGGTGTTGGAAGAAGTCAACCAAATTACCGCCGGCTTCTTAACGCGTACAGCCCTTCACCAATGTGTGGTGAAGGGATAAGGATCAGTAAGGGTTTTATAAAAGATTTGACTCCTTTAATAGAGAAATCCTGATGATGCAATACAAAAGAGCTATGGGTCGGCTCGAGTGATGTTACGCATCGGATAAGAGCGAACAGCACATGGCCGGGCGACTCCACTTCCCGGTCACAGACCTTGACCGGCGACGGCCCACACCGACTGATAACAGCACATCGACGCCGAGAACGCCGACAAGCCCGGACGGACTGAATATAATCAAAAGGGGTTTGGAGTTAGAGATCTCGCCGGCAATAGATAGTCTCAGACATCCACGTGTTGAACGAATAACTTCAGTTCTAGAGATATTCACCAATAAATGACCGACTTTTGTGGGGGGAGAAGTCTTCAAACTTCTGTTTGTGCGTGTAATAACCGCGCGAATCGTTCATGTTCAGTACATTTCTCAACAGACTTTGTCGACCCCCCAAAAGATCAATCAAGTCATGAGATGACTGCTGTAAGTCAAATCTGACGTCCTGTATCATGGTACCCTCCTTCAGAGACTGACAACCAACTCGGTTGCGCGGCTCAAAGCGAGGATCGAGTGGCGCACTAAAACCATGACTCGGGTCTCAATGGGCATACCATAAGACCTGCACATGCAGGTTCTCCGTGACTTCCCCACAATCCCCGCTTGTAAATTTGCCTTGTCCGCAGGCGGTTGAAGTCGAGGGTGGATATATCTATCAAGCGCTACCGGCTCATTAGCTATCACGGCTAAAGTCCAGCACGAGGGCCAGCGTTGATGACAGTGACATTCTGCTGTTAAGAAGCGAAGTCTGGTCTCTGTTGCAATCGCGGCCAGTTAAATACAAGTTGAGTCTTACGAATCATCCTTTGCCCATGTTCTACTCCGCTTTCTACCGCATAACTAGTTGTGTAGAGACCATGTCTACAAGTGCAATAGTTCGCCCATCGATGCCTGCCGGCTGATCTGTCGCTGCGGCTAAAATCAATGATGAGGAGCCGGACTCCACCAAATGTGCCGTAATGCCGGAGCTAGGTCCTAAGATGGTCTTCTTTCAACGGCCACCTGCATTGTCGTAGACAATAAGCGGTGCTCTGTGTTGCAAATCGTGGGTATTTTCCAGTGCGTATTGCTGATGATGGTGATTCATAGCCGCAACCGCTGCTCCACGCCACAATGTGTAAAAGGCTCGTAGCCCGCGTATATTAACGACGGTTCGAGTGTTTGCACTCTCAATTAATGATAGTCTCGGTTCGCAGGCAGAAATAGCATAAACTGACACCATGATGAGTATTCACGTGAGCTTAGCTGTAGGGCTCGCCTGCCTGGCTGGTATCAACACCCATCCCACTGCGGTCAATGGGAAGTTATATAGTGCAAGTAATTCTGAGACATCTCTGACGTTGCTCTTCCAGAACAATCTCAACTTTACAGATGATGCCAACCACATCGGAACCATCCTGTTGGACCCCATGACCCTGGCCAGTGGCGCCAAAGCATGTGCCGCAATCGGCGAGACCCTTATCCCACAAGCAGCCATACAAAACTACACTTCCGACTTTCAGCATTCTCTCGCATACAACGCCTATGCTGGTCGGGCTAGTCAGCGTCAATCATACATCATCAAGGATGGCACCGTGACCGTCGACGAAACATCGAGGAAACTCATCTTTGGACGAGTCCCTTGCGGCTACCAGACACTACCCGTGCTTTGCACCCAGTCTAGCAACCAGAACATGGCCGAAAACGCCGTTGCCACCAGCGCCAACAAGATCACCGTTGCCTCGAACGGCAACGCTTTCGTCGGGTTTCGAAACCAAAAGTCTTTCCGTTTCCAAGGCATTCCTTTCGCCAACCCGCCATCACGATTCGAGTACTCGACGCTGTATTCCCCTAAAGGCCGGGTCATCAACGCCACCGCATACGGTCCCGACTGTTCTCAGGGTTCTGACCTACAAGTAGTGAAGATTGTCTCTTTGTGAACTTTCAGACACCATATATCCCTAAGGCCGGCTCTACCAAGAATCTCCGTCCAGTACACTTATGGATCCACGGTGGTGGATTCACCGGCGGCAATGGTGCCGACCCGGGTAGCGACGGCGGCCAGCTAGCTTCACGCGAGGACATTGTCGTTGTCGAGATCAACTACCGCTTGAGCACGCTCGGTTTCCTGGCCGTGCCTGGGACAAACATCACCGGCAATTACGGCATCGCGGACCAGGTGGTGGGCATTAAATGGGTCATTGAGAACATTGCTTCTTTTGGCGGCGACCCGGAGAAGATCGTCATCAGCGGTGGATCTGCCGGGGCCGGCTCTGTCCGCACGCATCTGGGATCCCCAAAGTCCATTGGCAAGTTTCGCGGCGCCATCGCGATGTCCAATCTCGGCGGCGGTGTCGATCTTGGTCTTGACGGCGACTATGGTACCACCTACAGCTCCTATCTTTCTATTGCCGACTCGTACAACCGCTCCGCTGCCCTCTTCTCCGAGGCGGGCTGCAACCAGGCAACTGTGGAGGCGCAAGTTGCGTGTCTAAAGACCATCCCCGCACAAACCATTGTCAACCTCGCAACTGTCGCCCGCTACGTTGTTCAAGATGGCGTCTATGTCACGACTGGAAGCCTGAATGTTTACAACAGCAATGGCTCGACTGCTAGCGTCAACACTATCTGGGGCAATATCGTCAATGATGGTGCCTCCTTCTCGACGTACTCAACTAAACCGATCGCCAACCATACACAAGGTCTTATGGTCGGCCTCGGAATCTCCGAAGCCTACGCTCAGAAGATCATCGACTCCGGCTTATTTCCTTACTGGGACACTGGAAACGCAACTCTTGACTCGTTTAATGTTAGCCAGCGTATTGCGACCGACAAGACGTTCCGCTGCATCGACCAGGCCACCGTCTACGCCGGTGTCCACTCAGGGGCCTTCAAGACTTCTTACTATTACCAGCTGGAACGCGCATACGGTGGCTACAACCCAAACAATGTGGACGGGATAGGTCCGATCGAGCCGGGATATCCGAACGGTGACCCAGAGAAGCCGTACTTCCGACTTCACGGCGCCGATATGCCTTGGGTGTTTGTGAGTGGTGTCCCGCCCGACGCTGTGTCAAAATTTTCTGACTGTCCGAAGGCAAACCTTTACACCATCCGAGATGACAATGATCTCAGGTCAGTTCAGCTTAGCTCTGCGTACTTTGCCTCCTTCGTGCGCGAGCTACAGCCAAACCCAGAGGCCACGTACCTTTCCGTACGCGGGTATACTGACAGTATCGCTGGCGTTGCTGCTAGTGATGCTTGGGAGCCTGTCAGTGGTTTAGAAGGCCCTATCAAGCGGCTAGATGTTGTCTCTAAGACAGACACGTTCCAGGATAGAGAACAGTGTAATTTTCTAAACTACAGTGTCAGCTACTATATTAATGAGAGGTTAAAAAGAGGCAAACTGATTTAGACAAAGAATACTGTTTAAGGATATTGAACAGGTAGCAATTCTTAGTCTAGCCTTTGTTAGTTATACAGTTTAACCTTTTTTATGGTATATTTCTTACTAGAAATATAATATAGTTACAGTAGAGTAAACATTGTTATTAACCTTACGTCGCTATCCAAATCTTAGTATAATGAACATAATAAAGTTTGTTAGAAAGTCTTGTAAAAAAAGAAGTAAAAACGCTCATAATAAAGGTAAAGTTTTTTATTTTATTGTTTTTAAGTACCTGTTATGACCCGGAAAAGCGTTGGTTAACATATCAACCTGAAACGAACCCACGAGAAGCCAGGGGGGCAGTCAGGCTTATGTATACATGATCACGGCGCTTATAAGCAAGGGTCAGAACAGAAGAACTATAGATAGGTCACGTGATAATGAGAAAGTGATCAAAAGATAAGGTAATCACTTTAAGTAATTACTAAGTAAGTAGCTTACCTTAGACCTACTTTAGTTAATTACTTTTACTAGTATTATAATGAATAGAGATAATATATAAATAAGACTTAAGCCTATAGCTTAAGAACTCTCTATAGCTATTTACTAATTTACTTTATAATTTACTTTTTTATAAGTAACTTTTATATTATTTTTTTATTACAAAGCTATATATTACTTATACCTAGATATACTTAACTAATTATTTATAAACTAATAAAATTACTAATAAGATATTATAACCTAAATCTGGTTAGTAACTAGTGTAGCCTGGAGCGAACCCCTGGAGCAGTTAATAGGGCAGCTAGATATTTAAGTATGTAGGCTAATAGCATAAACTAGGCTTAGAATAAAAGAACTAAGAAAAGTTATATAATAAATTAGTTAGATTATTAGTAATCTAATGTGATCTTTTAGTAAAAATTATTAAGTAGTAAAACTAATTATTTACTTAAAATTATAAGTAGTAAAAATAATTTAAGAAAAAGAACTAAGATATAAAAATACTTATTTTAAAGAAATAAAAAACTTTTTATAGCTTTTTAGTAATTAACTTTATAATTTATTTTTTATAAGTAACTTTTAAATTATTTTCTTATTATAAAGCTATAAGCTACTTATACTTAAATATACTTAATTAATTACTAGATACTAATAAACTAATAAGATTATTAATAAGACTCACTTTATTAAAACTAAGTATTAACTTTAGTTATTTATTAATAAAAAGTATTATTATTAGATATTTAATTATAATACTTTATTTACTTTTATTTAATAAATTAACCTTAAGATTTACTAAATAATAAAAGATATCCTTTAAAACTATTTTAACTTTATTTTTTAGTTAATCTAAAGAAAAAGTAATAATACCTTTTAAACTTATAAGCTTAGACTAAAAAATAAAAGGTCTTAAATCTTTTAGTAATAAAAATAATAATATTAAAATAGCTAAATAACTTAAAAAGCTTATAAAAACATTATAGATATATAATAAATATTTAATAATAATATAGTACTTTTTAACTAACTTTAAGCTAAAGTATTATAAGTTAATACCCTTAAAGAAAAGGTTTATATTCTCTAAGCTATTACTAATATTATTTTAACCTTAATAGATAAATAAAAAAAACTTAAGCTTAATTCCTTTACTACTTATAATAAAACCCCTAAAACACTTAAAGGATTCTTAATATATATTAAGACTTATTAAATATTTTACTTTAATAACTTTTATATAAAAATAAAAGAATTATTTATATAAATACTTTTTTTAAAGGATAAGTTTTTTCTTAGTTTAAACCTTACTTAGAAGACTACCTAGATAGTAAAACGTTAAAATGTTATAAGCTAGAAACTTAGTAAATCTTTAGAAGCTTTATAGGATTTAAGTATACCTTAAAATCTTGATTTTAAGATCTTAATAAAAAACACTAAGAATTAAGAAGTAAAATTCTTATAATTCTTATATATAAATCTCTTTATAACTCTATAACTAAAAGTCCTATAAATATATAGTTATTTTTTCTAGATTCTTCTTAAAAAATAACCAATAAAAGTATATATTACTATATATAACTATACTAATATAAACTACTATAAACTAATACAGTCTACTACATATAAACGCATATACTTCTAAGCATTACATATATCAGCGCTTATACTTATCTACAGGTATATACAAGCATATATATATATATACAAGAAACTATAAGTACCTCTCAGCACTTAGATATATACTTAGATATACACTTAGATACTATACGTATCTAAGGGACTTTCTATATAACTAAAAGATATCCCTTCTACTTAAACAGTTTTATAAGAACAACAAAGTATAATAATACCTTAACAGTTAATATATATATATACCTTTTCTATCTACCTTTAGTCTTCTCTACTTTTTCTTATAACTATTTATAAATAACCCCCTATTATTCTTACTAGTTATAAGCCCAGCTCAGTAAAGAAAACAACTCTTATACCTTTTATCTTCCTTTATACTTATACCTCTATTTTATACAACAGAAATTCAACCTTGCCAAAGGATATACCACATTAGCTAAAAGAATTTTAAGGAATATAACTCTAAGGCAACTATACCTCACACCCAACAGTCTATATTCAGCAGAATAGAGGGACCAGCTTACCAAGCAAGTACTACACCTATCGCTATATTTTACGCTACTATAGCTCTAGGCTAATTATAATTTAATCCTACCCTACTAGTTAAAGGTTATTTCTAGCCTATATCCAACAAAGACTATATACCTTAAGCTAGAATTAAACCTAAGAGCTCTAATTAAGTTACTAATTTAATTAGTTAATCTAAAAAATAGCTAAACTACTAGACTAACTGCTTTATCGTCTAGTAAAAGCTTCTTTAATTAAAGGCCCATATATATCTTTAACCTAAGGCAACCACGCAACACTATACTATTAATAACAACATTATAATAACTTAACCACTTTTAAGGCCTATTTTTTAAGACAAATTTAATAGTATTATTAAAATACTAATATCTCTCTCTACTCAACCAAAATCAACTAAAATCCTTATATTCCAATCAAATTTAAACCAAATTAATACTATAGAAAAAATCTATATACTACGCCTTTCTAGTAGCCTTAACTATAATATTTAAGTAACTAGATTTAAGGCTTTACTTATTAGTAAAAATATTAACTTTAGTCTTAAAACCCCTTTAACTATACCTTCTTAATAAAAGAGTAATATAAAAGTATTAGCTTTTATAAAGCTATTTTATAAGGATTCCTCTTTAAGGGTTATAAAAGACTCTATAATAGGATATAAAGCCTAGAAGAAACTAAAGGATCTATATAAACCTACTAGTTTTACTAATAAATATCTTACTTATAAAAAGTTCTTTAATACCTCCTTAGAATCCTTTAGATCTATAAAAGAATAGCTTAATAAAGTAAAAGAGCTTATAAATAACTTATCTTCTAAAGATATAGCTTTACTAAAATAAGTTATTATAGCTTAGGTATTAAATAGTCTAGATAATAGTTATAAAGGTTTTATAACTAATATAACCTAAGCCCTTAAAAGAAATACAAATTCCTATATTATAAAATCCCTTTTTATAAATCTTATAAATAAAGCAAAAAGAAAAGGTTCTTTTACAGTATTATATACTACTTTTACCTTTAAAAAAGGAATTAAAAAGCCTTAGAAAAAAACAAAAGGTATTTATTATATATACTACAAGTTAAAAAACCATATAGTTAAAGACTATAACTTTCTATATCCTATTAAGGCCCTTAAAGGCTAGAAAAATAAGGATAATACTAAGAAAAAAGTCCTAAGGTAACAAAGGACTAATATAAAGAGAAATAAGCTCTATAAGGCCTAAAAGGCCTTAATAGCTAAAAAAGCTATAATAAAGAAAGAAGATTCAAAAGAATTAGATAAATTAGATATAGAAAATATGTATATTATAGTTATAGATATTATAGTTATAAATAACCTTTAATAAGAAGAAAAGAGTAAAATAAACTTAGATTTTAAAAATATAAGTTATATAACCTCCTTTATAATAACTATAACTAATAATAACATAAGTAATATAAATAAACCTATATATATAACTAGAAATAATAAATATATTACGTTTTACTTAGATATTATTACTACTATTAATATTATAAGTAATAAATTCTTATTTAGAAAGACTACCTATATAAATAGGTATATTAACTAAGGAGATATAAAAAGAAAGAAAATCTCTCTATAAAAAGATATAGTAATTTCTTTTTTTAATAATAATAATATATGTTGAATGGATTCTCTCTTTCTAAGAGAACCTGTTTGTATAATTATACTTAGGTTAAAGTTAAAGTGAACCAAAGATGTATTTTCTATGATTATCTTCCTAACTACAAGACTTAGCTTTTATATATGAGATATATGATCTTATATATCCCTGAGTTAGTTTAGTATGAATATACTTTTGATCCCCTTAATGGATAACTGAGGGCTGAATATCCAGTCTGTGTTTTCTGCTATGATGTGTGTCCTTAAGTTATGCGTATTATATAACTAACTAATACTATTATTTTAATACTTATAACTTTTTCTTTTGTGATTATATAACTCTTTATAGTGTTTAATTAGGTTATGCTAATTATGATATTAATAACCTTATTATATAACCTTATAGGTTAAGCTATTTATATTATATAATAAATTACTAATATTAAAACTCTAAGTAATTATCTATTTTCTTTTTACCTAGTTAAGTAGGTAAGTTATATATTAGTAAAGTTTTTTTCTTTTTTGTTAACTTTACTTTTGCTTTTATTGTTAATATATTTTTTTTTTTGTGTAGTAATTTTAGCTATTTAAAACCTTTTTTATTTGTTTTTTTTTTTTCTTTTTTTTTTTTTTTTACTTTTTATATATATTGCTTTTTTATATAATTAATTAATAATAATCTTTTTCTTTTTTTTTAATTAACTTTAATAATAACTACTTATATATAAGATTTCTTTTTATATAT